TACAGATAGATGAATGTGCACCAAAGGTAAAATAACAGAATTTATATGAGCCAGCAGAACGCGTCTGATTCATAGCATCACATTTTCCCATTTTGCTCTAAGGTCCTGATTGTTCAGGCTTTTTAAACCAAAAATAAATTATTGCAATATATTTGCTAATTATACTATACTGGAGTTCTGTGTAGTATAAATTGCAGCAGTGATGGATTTAGATGAGGTTTCTTAGGCTTATTTTTAGTGATTCAAAGAGAGTTCAGCTCTAGCTGGGTCTCATTTACAAATCTAGAGGGGGAAAAAAAAACCCTATGCATAATTATTTCTCAAATTTTGGGAACAATACTCTTCATAAACTTGGTGTTTTATAAATCTTTCAGCACTTTGTGTGTTATTGAAAACAGGAGAAGCCACAATTCATAGTAATATTGGTGTGTTTAAAAAACGTGATGGGTATTTGAGGCATTTGTGAAATTGGGTTCCTCAACCAGCTCCCAGTTGTTTCCAATTCTGCTCTCGCTGTTTTTTGAATCCCGCAGCGTCCCATTATTCTCTGGCTTAACCCATGATTACCTCCTCCTTCAGAGCTAATGCATCTTCACATGCCTTTTTGTTTGCTTCTTTCTCTCTTTTACTTGCATAGTCTTTTTCTGCAGTCCTGGATGGTCCAAGAATATTTTAAAGGTGATTAGGAAGCTTCAATTAACATTTCTTTAAGAAAAAAACCCCTGAACAACAGCAACAACAAAAGATTTCATTGGAAAATCCATTTGTGACTCTTTTCTCTGGAAATGAAAGATTCTTTTCTGTACTCACCATTAAGAGCTGCCCTATACCCTCCTTGCATTTCTAGGATTTAACCTGTATCCAGACAGATTGAGAGGTGGTTTCCATATTCCTTTCTTCTTGAGAACGGAAGTATGGTCCTTTTTTAAGGCACTGATTTCTAGTTGTGCAGATCTGCATTCAAGACTGTGCTAAAATACCAACTTCCTGTGTGATCCTATTTCAGTTAATGAGTATTTAAGCACTTAATGCACACCACATCCAAATGAACAGGTGAACAATTAAACTATTTAGAAAGTAAAGGGAAGCAGACTTACCACCGGTAAGTTCAGGTCGGTTAATCCCTGTAACTGTTTTGTATGTCCACTCCTGTTTTGCTTTTCATGATTGAAACAAAGAATCCAGGTAGTAAATGATCATCCTATAGCTTCCACTTCCTGTGGGATAGTGTGGTCAGAGAAAACAGTTAGAGGGGATTTAACTAAACTTGAGTAAGTCCCTCCTGTCCATTTGTTTCATCTGTCCATACCTTTAAATGCCCAAATACTTTTGAAGTGTCTCCTGTGATGGATTTTGTCTGTGAAGGGCAGTTAATATTCACCTCCTTACCGCAACAGGTGTATGTGGGCAGCATGTTAGGGCATTTATACACAAAGTTTTTTGTCCTGCAACACGTTGGTGATCCACCGCTTCGGAGCAGGCTTGATTAATCAAGTCTTCTCCGCACGCAAGCTGAGGTGAACTGCGCTGTGCCACGTGTAGTTGTATAAGCAGCAAAATGCATGTCCACGTGCAAAAAAGCGGTGGCGGTGCCCTTTTGAACTAAAGCACCTCCAATGCGTTTTAGTTCAACAGTGCACCGCCACCATTTTCTCAGCAATAACACGCATTTCGCCACTTGTACAACAGCAAACGTCTTATACGACTGCAAGCGTTTTAAATCTCCTAGCGCTGCGGTGCTTGCATGTGTAAAAATGCCCTGAAAGACTTTAAGGAACGTGGATATTATGCAGCATATCACTCGGTGAGCTATTCTTGTGACTGATCGTCTCTTCTACCTATGACTTTCCAGTCTCTGAAGTGAACACCAGAGAGGAGACTCGAGATTAATTCAGATTGCCTTCGATAGGGACTCTGAGAGGCTGATTAATAACCATCCACAGGACCATTAACAAAGGGTAATAATAAATGAAAATGTATTGGGATCTAGGAGTTGTCTAGCAGGGAACATTAAGGAGTGGTCCTGTGTCCAGTCATCTTTAACATCTTCATTCATTAGTTAGGAGTGGAGGGGAGTGGAGGGGAAGGAGAAGTTCATCTTAATTAAAATCACAGATGATTCCAAATTGGGCATCATTGCATTAATCACTGAGGGCAGAATTATACAAAAGGGACCTAGAGAGATTAGAAATCTAGATAGGAATTGGCAACATGAGGTATAGGTTGAAGATTTCAAGCTAATGGTTATAGGGGAGAAACAGTCCTAAACAGATGCGATGAAAGGCAGGGAAGAGAACGTTGGAAGCATAAATAGGAAAGGGAGCCAAGGGACATGTAATTTGGACGAGATGGATGCCTAGGAGAGCCCTCAATCTGATGTGGCCTCAGTCCCCGGTTTGTGAAAAAGTAATCAAGTCTACTAAGAGCCAGCTCCTAAGCAGGATTAGGGGGAACGTAGGTGCCAAAGTCGGAGAGACCAGGCATGTCTACACGAGACATTTACTGCAGAGCAGACTACAATGTCAGCATCTACACATGCAACTCTATTAGTAAACTAATTCACTCCACTGCAGGGTAGTACTGTTAGTAAAGTACTCTGCCGCAACGCACATATAGACAGGCACTAGGCTGGCTGGGGCATGAGGGTGCTACCGTGTGGGGGCTGCTTGCCATCTAGCCCCACACTATAGCACCCTTGTGCCCCAGCCAGCCCCTCTGCAGCATGCTGAGCCAGGGGAAGCAGCCCCGGGCTGGCAAGCTGACCCCTGGGTCCCCTGCAAGCCAGAGCTGCGCTGCTCTGGCTCAGTGTGTTGTAGTACTGGGTGCACATGTGGATGCTGTGCCCGGGAACAATACACTCCCGCGCGAACTGTGATGGAGTTTATTCAGCTGCCTTAATGCACACATAGATGCACCCACTGTTTCATAAAAACCCAGTCTAACCTCTTGAAAGGCTGGGGTCACCTAAGATTTTGTCAGTAAAGTTACTAATGATTTTCTACTGCATGTGTCCAGCCTTTGCCACTATCTTGACTGAGCTGAGCATCTCAGACCTATCTCCTATCTAAGGCTTTTGGGGTTTTGGGGTCCCTGTACCCAAGTCCCCAAAGGCACCCATTTCAGTAGGTGCACTCAGAGCACTGGGGACTGCTTTAAGAGTCTTTTGCATTTAAGAGTCAGTGCATTAATGGTGTTGGGAGGATGCAACATAATCTGTGTCTGCCCCCTTCCAGAAGATTGCCCTCAACATGAGGCTGCCAAGTCAGGCTTTTTTTCCTCCATACTTCTCCTCTGGCCCCGTGGATCCTGCATTCCTTTAAGACCATGGCCCAGGTTCACTGGAAGAAGTGGGGAGTTTAGAGGTTGGTGATTAGGACACTTTTCTAAGAGGGTGGGAGTGACAGGTGTGAACCCCTGCAGGTCAAGGAACACCTAGGATGCAGACCTACCATTTCCTGGACAGACGTTGCAACCTCTAGGCTGTTCCATGAAAGACGGGTAATAGCAGCCTTATCTACATTTCAAATAAAAAGGGTACCCCAGGAACAATCTAGGTGCTTGAACACAGGCAAGGATGTGAATCCCATTCTCACAGAGGTGCCTAACCCCAGGTCAGTGGTGGGAGGTCAGGCATTCCCCTCTCTTCAGAGTTTCTCATTGGCTCTGGTCTTTTAACTGTTGCCAATCTCACGTTTAGGCACCTCATTGGAAGCAGAAATCAGACAGGGCACTAAGGGAGATGTAAGCTGGAGGAGATAGATGCCTAGGACAGTGGTCCTCAACCTTTTTTGTACCAGGACCTATTCATAAACATTGGCCAGTCGCAATCCAGTGCCCCTCACTCCCGACCCACTGCCCCCAGGCCCCAGCCCCCCAATGTATGGGGCAAGGGGTGTAAGTGTGGAGCAGAGGGAGTCCCAAGCACCTCCTTGCAAGCTGGAGCTCTGCCAGCCTGCAAGGAAAAAGCCATGGTTTCCCATGTTTTTCTCCTTTAAAAGAGAATCCATTTTTAAAGTATGTTGATCCATTTTTAAAGCTTGTCTGCCACCCTTTCATATATTCTTGCAAACCGATTTTGGATTGTGACCCGTAGGTTGAAAAACGCTGGTCTAGGCGAGTGCTCGGTCTGATGTGGCCCATTCAGCTGTAAAGGGGACTTATAGTCCTTAACTTAGGTTTATGAATTGCACTTCTGCAGTGGAGGCCTAAAGATGTTGGTGCTGAGTCTCACCGTGATTTAGTCCTGTTTTTGGATCTGGGCCTCAGTTTGACACAAGTTGACAGTGTGATATGGAGACATTAAAATTCAATATGGTTTTGGTCTGTACATGCGAACAGCGAGGAGGTGAAACCCTGTTCCTATAATCATCTGGTACCACCTCACCTGCAATATTAAATTTAATTTTAGGTACCTTGAGGCTAGGCTAAAAAAACACCAAGGAGACAACATTTGCAAAGATGAGAGGAATATAAACAGTGAGACAGGGCAGGAATTATTGAGGGGCAATCAGGTATCCAGCCAAATTAATTGAATTAAGTTAAAAAGTGAAATATTTAAGGTGGATATAAGAAAAATCTTCCATGCAGGGAAAACTATTAGCCTGTGAAATTGTCTTTGGATAAAAGAAGCAGTTTATGACATTGCTGAGGATACTTGAAACCAGACTAGACCAAGTGCTAGAGTGCTTTAAAGCAAAGTCCTCCTTTGGCAAGGGGATGAAGAATTTCTCTGAACTCTGGGTTTACCCTGTTATGCTTTAATAGCTGGAAAAATCTTGTGATGATCATGGTTGGTATTGACAGTCATTTCTTTACATATGATGGACAAATTAATCTAATGTAATCCCAATGGTAACATTTATACCAGCAATCACAATAGCATGCAAGACTAGCATTATATGATCCAGATGGCTAATAAGTAGCTATTTTTAATGCTTGACTTGCACATGATTAAGATTATTTAAATCTTGCTGACTGTTTTTATGCACATCTTTCAACAGGTAGACTGAGATTAACACATGTCCAGTTTGAAATTGCATACTTCAAGGAGTATTTGATGGATTATTCCTAGATACTTCAAAAAGGTAAATAGTAAAAAAAGAGTCATCATTCCTTTTTTTCTGTTTTGTGTTGTTGGGTTGGGCTTGCTCTATTGTGTCTTTCAGTTTATAATCAAATAATACCATGTTACTGCAATGTTTTCATTTTACGATATGGTAATTTCATGTTTTTGTACAAAATTCTTCAACCAGAAAGGTGGAAATGTGAGTAATTTTGCCACTTTCTCTACTGCCGGCCTGATTGTCACAGCCATATTTATTGCCTTTAGTACTGTTACATTTGAGTCCTATTTATAGACCAAGACCCCACTGTGTTAAGCACTGTACAAACAGAAAATGAAAAGATGGTCACTACCCTTTGCAAATGTTTATGGGGAACAGTGGGCAGTGGTTTCTGGCATCACAAAGGTGGGAGCAGACTTTTTAATACTGGATGAGGGACAAGCAGATTTGGATGTGCTGTGAAGGGCTTTGAAGGCAAACAAATGGCATTTCTGTTGGGTCCAGCAAACGAAGAACAGCCAGCAGCAGGATATCTAGTGATGGTGTCAAAAGAATTGGGCCAAAAAATGATCCTTGAATCCTGGATTGATATTAGCCGGGGAAGTTTGCATTGCTCAGGTGAAAGGGGAGGGTGCTGCAGTAATGAAGGCATTAAATGATGAGCATTTTAGCTGTGCAGATTGATGGGAACATCTGTGTCTTGGTAAATTATACAGAAAAAATATTCAGGTATTACACACAGCCCAGGGATGGAGATCCAGAAAGGGGTCCGAGATGGGTCTAGGGTTGAGGGAGACAGCTCTGCTTTAGCCATATTGAGCTACAGGTTAAAAGCATAAACCATGAAGAGATATGGGAATGAGAAGCTGAGATTTTATTTGGGACAGAAGGAGATAGGTGTGGAAGGGAGAATGCGGTTTTGGGAGTCATTCTCATGAAATTAACGGTTTGTGTTGTGTTTCTGGATTAGGATATCCAGAAATTAGGCGTGGAAGACGAGAGGAGATACAAGAGAGAGCCCTGGGGGGACCTCTGCTGAAAGCTGGAGGGGCAGGAGGAGCTGTTGTATGAGACACTAGAGCTAAGAAAGCATTGGAAGGAGATAGTCACAAAAGCCAAGGGAGGATCTGATTTCCAGAAGCAGCAGCCTGAGCATCTCAATGGAAGGATGCAGGCAAGTAAAGGAGGAGGAGGACAGGGAGCCGAATCAGATTTGGTGAAGAGATTTGGCTAGAAAGAGGCTAGACGAGATTTTGGCAAGATTTTTTTTTTAAGTGCAAGGGGTGGAAGCTAATTGAGAACTGGTCTAAGAAATTGGAGGCGAGGTGCTCCAGAGAGTCCTAGAATAGAAACAGTTCAGTCAATGTGCTTAGAGGTGAAAAGATGGAGGAGGGTAGCTGGAAAAGCAGGTTGTGTGGGGGTCAAAGATTTTTTTTCTAAGATAGGAGAGGTTACATTTTTTGTATTACTGAAAGGAGAGATTAAGGAGAAAAGCAGAGAAGGGATGCGAGTTGATGAGGGATATCAGGAGACAAGTTGAGATGCGGGTTCAAGGACAAGTGGGAGGATTTGGAGAAGGAGAGAAAAGGAAAAATGTAGTGCTTATGGCAGGGTGGAAGGGGATTGCAGAAGGGGAAAGGAAGATGAGAACAGGGGAAGGGGTTGAACTTTGCCATTTTTATATTGGTAGAAATCGATGAGGCTGGGTATGAAGAGAGAAGTGGAGGAAGGGAAGGTCTGAGGAATGAGTGAAAGAGGTTTCAGAGATTGCAGGTGTGAGATTTGATCAAGCTGGAGAAGTAGGCCTGCTTAGGAAAAATGGTAGAAATGGAGGAGGAGGAAACGAGCTTCTAATGGAGGTGGTTGGACTAGTGCATATAAAAGTTATGTTTACAATATACTGTAGTCTATTAAGTGTGCAATAGCATTATGTCTAAAAAAACAATGTACATACCTTAATTAAAAAATA